TTGAAGAAGTTATTTGTTGAAACCGAGGCAGAATTTATTTTCCTGAGTTTTCTTGATGAATGAAAGCGCAAACATTCGCACCTCAGAGTCGAGCCGAGCAGCGCCATCTGGCCGAGTGGGAAATTAAGGCGAAACTAAAACGAGGCGAAAAAACCCCTGGCAAGAGTTCGCCGAGAGGAAGAGCAGCGTTTGGCAGTGTGTGTGAAGAAAAGCAGAGGCCTGAAGCTTCACATCCTGCCAAACGTGTGTATTGTGACCTGCGGGCTCCACTGATGCCCCTCTGAGCAAAACATGCCACCCTCAGCCATCCTGACACCACACACACACACACACACACACACTCACAGGCTTGTCGTTGTGTTTTATTAGTGTCGTTTGCATCACTATTGCTCATAGAAACTTCAGTGTGTGTCTGGCATACAATGCTCATGCTTTGAGAAAGCAGATATGTGTGCAAAAGGGTCAAGGATGGGTAATGGAAAATTAAAAAAGCACAACAATCATCTCTATTTATAAATACAGTCATATGTATGTTTGTATGTATATTTAAATGGTGGCTCAGTGGTTAGCACTATCGCTTCACTGGTTCAAGTCCCGGCTGGATCAGTTGGCATTTCAGTGTGTTGGCGTGGGTTTCCTCCAGGTGCTCCGGTTTCCCCCACAGTCCAAACACATGCGCTATAGGGGAATTGAGTAAGCTAAATTGTCTGTAGAGTATGAGTGTGTATGGATGTTTCCCAGTGATGGGTTGCAGCTGGAAGGGAATTTGCTGTGTAAAATACATGCTGGATAAGTTGGCGGTTCATTCCGCTGTGGCGACCCCTGATTAATAAAGGGACTAAGCCGAAAAGAAAATGAATGAATTAAAATAAAAGCTATATTAAAGTTACATAACATTCAACTTATTTAAGAATGCATATCACACATCAGAATATATTCATTTTATACTGAATTAACAATATAATATAACAAAAAAAAAGTTAATATAGCCAATATGGGAGTGAATCTTTAGTTATAGATCAAACACTATATTCTGTGAACTATTAAAATGTTTATTTTTTTGTATAATATTTAAATGAGATGCAAATGATTGCATTTATGCATGCATGATTGACAGGTCAGTGAGCGGTGTCCGGGATGCATCAGAATACATTAATATCATATCACAAATCTCACAAAAAGATGAATTCTGAGTCACAAAATGATTTGGTGCCCTAAAATTAGCGCTAAAGTAATCTGTAATGTCTGAACAGATATTAAAACCAGATGTTAACAAGCTCAAATCCTGATTCAAAACCTCTCTCTTTTATTGTTTTGCAAATTGAGCAGTATTTTTATCTTGATTTTTAGCTTTTCTTTTTAAAGGAGCACTGAAAACAAATATGCTGTTAATTCCAGTATCGCTTCAAAGCAAGAAGGTCGCTGGTTCAAGTCCCAGCTTGGTCAGTTGTCATTTCTATGTAGAGTTTGCGTGTTCTTCCCGTGTTGGCGTGGGTTTCCTCCGGGTGCTCCGGTCATTCTGCTAAAGAAAAATGAACGAATATATATATATACAGTTGAAGTGGGAATTCTTCAAATATTTCCCAAATGATGTTTAACAGATTCAGGAAATTTTCACAGTATGTCTGATAATATTTTTTCTTCTGGAAAAAATCTTATTTGTTTTATTTCGGCTAGAATAAAAGCAGTTATTAATATTTTATGAACCATTTTAAGGACAATATTATTAGCCCCTTTAAGCTATATTTTTTGTTTGACTGTCTGCAAAACAACCCATCATTATACAATAACTTGCCTAATTACCCTGACCTGCCTAGTTAACCCAATTAACCTAATTAAGCCTCTAAATGTCTCTTTAAGCTGTATGGAAGTGTCTTGAAGAATATCTAGTCAACTAATATTTACTGTCATCATGACAAAGATAAAATAAATCCGTTATTAGCAATGAGTAGGCCCACACGGAATCTGCGCGCGCAGATGATCTGCAGAATTCTGCAGATTTTTAGCCCATCATTAATTCTGTTTATTATCTTGAGTAAAAATGTGTAAATCTGTATTTATTCAGTTTTTAAATGAATTACAGTAATCTTATTGACTAATATAAAAGTGTTCATCTGATTCATGTACAATGCAGTTTGTACAGTAATTTTAGAAGAGATATAATATGAGAGACTTGCTTTGTTTACCAAATAAAGTGAATCTAATTGGATTTGCATTTTAAACATTAAATTAAAGTTTATAAGATGTTGTTTTTTTATTTCCCATATTGAGGTTTTAGTTCTGATACTCCCAAAATTCTGAAAAATTCTGAGACTTATTATTTGGGTAGCACACATATTCTGAATGCCTTCAAATGAGCCATTTTAATCTAGATTAATTGAGTTTAATTAAAATGATCTATGCCCACCTATAATTAAAGAGCCCATATTATACATGAAATAGGGTCATATCTTGGTTGTAAGGGTCTCCAACAACAGTCTAACATGCATGCAAGGTCAACAAACACTTTCATGGTCTTATAATCTGCATTTGTTTTTACCTAATTATCCCAGCGTCTCCCGTATGAATCGTTCAGTGATTCATTTGTTCCCAAACCCCTCCTTAGCGCGAAGCTAATCTGCGCTGATTGGACCAATGACAGCTTGTTGCGATTGGTCGACTGCCTTCAGTCAGAGAGTGAAATGCCCAACAGCTAATCAGCAATATAAAAGTAATCACAGTTCATACACGCTCGATAGTGTAGGCGTGGAGTTTAGCTGCCAGTGGGTCAATGTAAATACAGACGATGGACTTGAAAATTCAGACGACTGACTATTTTATTGAGCAAAAACTCCAAAAACAGTTGAGGAGATCTCCTAGCTTCTCACTCTGCTCTTTTCACAGACACAAACACACACACACACACACACACACACACACACACACACACACACACACATTGCCCTCGTCCGCGCACACACACATACCTCCGGGCGACAACGCGCGCGAGCACACACACATACCTCCGGGCGACAACGCGCGCGCACACACACATACCTCCGGACGACAGCACACGCACACACACACTACCCTCGTCCACGGAGCTCCGTAAACAAAGCAGCACGCGTCGCGTTTTTAACGTGACTTTGCACGCGATATGAGAATATAGCCAGTTAACCTGATACAGTACACGCGGTTACAAGTAACAAATCACAACTAAATACATTTGCAAGCTAGAGTAAACGAGGCAACAACTTTAACCGCACGTACTTACACTTGAGAAATGGAGGAAGAAGCCCATCCTGACGTCCATCAGTAAGTTACTCTTTACTGATCCTTCCTTTAACAAACGCTGATGAAGTATTCTTTGTAGCATGTAGTTTCCAGTAGTTTCCAACTGCTTGGTTATAATGCTGAGGTTTCATCTTTGGGTAGAGACTCAATATATCCATCTGCAGTGTGACTTCAATCGACCGGCTTGTTTGTGGGTGGGTGTGTGTGTGTGTCTGGGTTTCTGCGTCAGAGGGCGGGGCCTCAGGTTTGAAATCTCCCAGGGTTTGCGCGTGCACGTGAATAACTTGATTTCGTTCGTACGTCATGGCGAAACACCTAATGACTCGGTATCAAGGCGACTCGTTTGAAGCACTATGAGTCGACTCTTTTATAGATGAATCAACCATTTTAAACACTGAACTCTTACAGATTTAAGCCTTAGCTGGATACTTCACTTCACTTAGAGCTGTGTTACACACTATATGAAGGGGAATTTTCAAAAACCCATAATATGGGCTCTTTAATACACACTTCAATTGTTAATTACAATATCAGCTTCATAAAAATGTCACAGGGGTGTTTGTTTGATTGCTTTACTTTAGTAAATTTGTATTTATCTATTGATTTATTTATTGATTTATTCATTCATTTTATTTATTCGTTCATTTTTTTTATTTATATATACTTTTTATACTCCATGAGAAAAAAAGTGCACTGAAGTCAGGTCAATGTGAGGTGGATATGCTCCGTAATGATCATCCCTGAGAGAGGATCTGTATCTGCATTTGTTAAATTCTCAATCTGAGGTAATAAGTCTACATTTCAAGAGTTCACACTTAGCTGATGATTAATATAAGCTTGTTTGGCATGCTGTCCCGGGAGAGAGCCCTGAGCTCATGAGATCCTCGAGCCCAGGGCTCCCTCCCGTTGCAAAGCGGGAGGGGAGTTTGAGCTCAGGTAGATCTCGAGAACTCCCCCGCTGTAGCAAGTGAATGCTCTTGAAACTAATTACTAACTAGGAGCGTGTCTATGTTGACAATTTGGCTTGTTCAATTGACTTAATTGCATGTTTTTAGGCGGTGGGAGGAAACCGGGGAACCCGGGGGAAACCCACGTGAGCACGGGGAGAAGTGCAAAACTCCGCACAGAAATGTCTGCTAGTTTTGGTAAAGCCAGGAACCAGAGACATTCTTGCTGTGAGGCGACAGTGCTAGGCACTGGGCCACCGTGTCACCCGTCTAAGAAGGAGGCGTAGGGGAGGAAGGGGGGACTCTTCAAAACGAAGATAGCAATGGAATAAACCCTAGGGTATTTATAGTAATTTAGGAGTCATCTGATTGGATCGTGGTGAATTGGATAATGCGGGTCAGCTGCTAGCAATCATAAGCACGTGATTCTCTCGAAATTTGTTTATACATAAACTTCACTTATTACTCTGTAATTCTATAGAAACTCGTTGTTGACTCGCTATATCAGACCTGCGCATTGCTAGGCCCTGTTTGCAGTTTAATTTAAATAGAATAAATACGATCAAACAAGTCCAGAGGTCCGCATGGGGCCGTAAAATGTTCAAGTCTGGTTTAGTGAATCAATTAAGTGAATCCAATATCTAATGCAAACTTCAACAGGACATCTATTTCAATCAGTCATTTGCCACATTGTAGCACCTCCCATCAATTTAGTGCATCTTTAATGAATAAAGAAAGCTGTTGTGTGAGATTGCTGAAGCATCTGTGTGTGTGTGTGTCTTCAGGACTTCAATCTGCTGTACGAGGAGGCGCGCTATTACCAGCTGAGTCCGATGATCAAGGAGCTGGAGCGCTGGAAGCAGGAGCGTGAGCAGCGGCGTCTGGCTAACCCCTGCGACTGCCTGGTGGTGCGGGTGACCCCCGACCTGGGCGAACGCATCGCTCTGAGCGGAGAGAAGGTGCTCATCGAGGAGATCTTCCCGGAGACCGGAGACGTCATGTGCAACTCGGTCAACGCTGGCTGGAACCAGGACCCCACACACGTCATCCGCTTCCCACTGAACGGATACTGCAGACTCAACTCCGTGCAGGTATGCGCAGATCTGCTTTAAAGGGGACCTGTTAGGCAAACTGTTGCAAACACAGTTGTGTGTGAATATAACCAGCTTCTAATGGTTACAATTAATTCAATTAATTTTTATAATCACACTGATGTGATGCTCTGGCCTGAGATGAACTCATTACAAAATAAAACTCAAGCTGCAATTAGTATTTTAGTCCTTTATAGCTCTCAAATAGGCTTAAAATAGCTCTTAAATGGCCCCTATTATACACCGTTTTAAACACAGTCAACAATGGCCATCATGAATGAATTGTATTTGTATAATCAGACTTGATGAATGAAACACTTTGATTGACATTCTCCCTTTGTACATGTCATCAGAGGGGGAAAGCCACGCCCACTAGTGCGCATTTTGCCCTCATTAGCATAAACAGCAGCCCTGAGTGAGAAGCAGCCGTCTGTCCATTAGCCATCAGTGTTTGATCTGCTGAAAATAATATAAGCATAGACAGATTATAGATGTGGAGTTTTAAATAAAGCCCAAGCAACAGGAGTCTCCATAGACTGACAGAAGCATGAAGCACACATGACCAGCACTGAGAACACAACTAGTCTTGTTTTACATCTGCCACTATGCTGATGCACAGGTATTCATAGCTCCGCCCTCTTTTGAAAAGTTTTTATTTCTAAATAATTTCTTTAAAAGTTAGCACAGAAACATTGTTTTAGTTTAACATTTTATTATCATTTCAATGTTTTAAACCTTTTTGTTGTTGGTTTTTGGAAGATTCTTAAGCAATAGAAACATAACTAATTTGGCAATGATAAAATGTAATCACCCCTTATTTTTTCAATATCAAAGAAAACATTTTTAATTTAAAAATATAATGTAGCCTAAATATTTATGTTCTAAGGGTATATATATATATATATTATATGTATATATATATACATATACACATATATATATATGCATGTGTATATATATATATACAGTATATATTATATGTATGTATGTGTGTGTGTGTGTGTGTGTGTGTGTGTGTGTGTGTGTGTGTGTGTGTGTGTGTGTGTGTGTGTGTGTGTGTGTGTGTGTGTGTGTATGTATGTATGTATGCATGCATGCACGCATGCATGTATGTATGTATGTATGTATGTATGTATGTTTGTGTGCGTGTGTATATATCTATATA